ATTTAAAAACACCAATCGGGACAAGTTCTTCCAGTTTAAGAGTATGTTGTAAGGCGTTCCAAGCCGATGGCGCAGAGTACATAAAAGCCCTTTTACCAAATTCAGTTCAGACATTTGGAACATTTAGCAGGATAAAGTCCTGCGAACGAAGGGAGTACCCACCACATTTCTGAAGAATAAAAATGCCCAGATAAAATGGTAGTAAACCCAAAATGGCTTTGTAAATAAAAGTATACCAGAGACTGAGACTACGAGTGACTAGAGAAGGCCAGCCAACCCTGGTATATAAAGTGCAATGGTGCGTAAGGGTTTTGCAGTTTAAAATAAATCTCAATGCTCCATGATAAAGGGTGTCAATTGATCTCAAACACTGAGCGGAAGCGATCATATATAAAATATCTCCATAGTCTAGTATAGGCATAAATGTAGCTCATACTAGCCTCCTTCTGGCTTCAAAATCAAAACAACTTCAGCTTCATTTTTTTGTAAGTTATTGAATATGCAATTTAAAAGAGAGGCTGTCATTCAATAAAAATGCCAAGATATTTATATGAGGTTACAACCTCAATCTTATTGCCCTGACAGGTAGTAATAGGTGAAATGTTCAGTGGTCTGTTTCTTGCTTTAGAAAACATCATTATTTTAGTTTTGTCAGCATTGAGGATAAGCTTTAATTGACACAAGGTATGTTGAACAGTATAAAAAGCAGTTTGCAAGTTCTGGAAAGCTTTTGTGAGAGACGAGGCACAACAATAAATAACAGTATCATCAGCATAAAAGTGAAGTTGGGCATTTTGCACATTTTTGTCTAAATTATTTATATAAATAGTGAATAAGAGGGGATCAAGTACAGAGCCCTGGGGCACACCATTACAGACAGACAATTTAACAGACATGAGCCCATCAACTTGAGTGCACTGAGTTACAGTGGGGAGAACAAATATTTGATACACTGCCGATTTTCCTACTTACAAAGCATGTAGAGGTCTGTAATTTTTATCATAGGTACACTTCAACTGTGAGAGACGGAATCTAAAACAAAAATCCAGAAAATCACATTGTATGATTTTTAAGTAATTAATTTGCATTTTATTGCATGACATAAGTATTTGATCACCTACCAACCAATAAGAATTCCGGCTCTCACAGACCTGTTAGTTTTTCTTTAAGAAGCCCTCCTGTTCTCCACTCATTACCTGTATTAACTGCACCTGTTTGAACTCATTACCTGTATAAAAGACACCTGTCCACACACTCAATCAAACAGACTCCAACCTCTCCACAATGGCCAAGACCAGAGAGCTGTGTAAGGTCATCAGGGATAAAATTGTAGACCTGCACAAGGCTGGGATGGGCTACAGGACAATAGGCAAGCAGCTTGGTGAGAAGGCAACAACTGTTGGCGCAATTATTAGAAAATGGAAGAAGTTCAAGATGACGGTCAATCACCCTCGGTCTGGGGCTCCATGCAAGATCTCACTTCGTGGGGCACCAATGATCATGAGGAAGGTGAGGGATCAGCCCAGAACTACATGGCAGGACCTGGTCAATGACCTGAAGAGAGCTGGGACCACAGACTCAAAGAAAACCATTAGTAACACACTACGCCGTCATGGATTAAAATCCTGCAGCGCATGCAAGGTCCCCCTGCTCAAGCCAGCGCATATCCAGGCCCGTCTGAAGTTTGCCAATGACCATCTGGATGATCCAGAGGAGGAATGGGAGAAGGTCATGTGGTCTGATGAGACAAAAATAGAGCTTTTTGGTTTAAACTCCACTCACCGTGTTTGGAGGAAGAAGAAGGATGAGTACAACCACAAGAACACCATCCCAACCGTGAAGCATGGAGGTGGAAACATCATTCTTTGGGGATGCTTTTCTGCAAAGGGGACAGGACGACTGCACCGTATTGAGGGGAGGATGGATGGGGCCATGTATCGCGAGATCTTGGCCAACAACCTCCTTCCCTCAGTAAGAGCATTGTATATGGGTCGTGGCTGGGTCTTCCAGCATGACAACGACCCGAAACACACAGCCAGGGCAACTAAGGAGTGGCTTCGTAAGAAGCATCTCAAGGTCCTGGAGTGGCCTAGCCAGTCTCCAGACCTGAACCCAATAGAACATCTTTGGAGGGAGCTGAAAGTCCGTATTGCCCAGCGACAGCCCCGAAACCTGAAGGATCTAGAGAAGGTCTGTATGGAGGAGTGGGCCAAAATCCCATCTCACAGTTGAAGTGTACCTATGATAAAAATGACAGACCTCTACATGCTTTGTAAGTAGGAAAACCTGCAAAATCGGCAGTGTATGAAATACTTGTTCTCCCCACTGTATATCAGACAGATAGTTAGCAAACCATTCAACTGCATGCTCCGAAAGACCTACACTCGACAATCACTGCCTCATTATAGCATGATCAACTGTATCAAAAGTCTTAGAGAGATCAATAAAAAGTGAGACACAGTACTGTTTTTTGGCAAGGGCTTCGGTGATATCATTTAAAACCTTCATGGCTGCTGTAATTGTGCTATGCTACTTCCTGAATCCCGATTGGTACATTGATAAAATAGAGATAGTAAATAAAAACAATTTTAGCTGTTCACTAACAAGGGTGCCAGGGGTGACAGCTTTGACATGGGCCAATAATTATTTAAAAGAATTGGAACTCCCCCTTTTAAAAGTGGTAGGACAAATGCTGATTTCCAGATCCTTGTAATTTCATTATATTCCAGGGTTAGATTGTACAGATATGTAAGTGGTTCAGCTATTAAATCAGCTGCCAGTTTTAAAAAGCAGGGATCAAGAAGATCAGGACCTGCAGGCTTTCTCTGATCTAAGGATTTCAGGGCATTATGTACCTCCTGCACTGAGAACAGTGAAAAGCTCAACGTTTGACCAGCTCTCACCTGTTCATCCACACAAGGTTGTACAGAGACAGAGGATACTGAATCAAACAGCCTACCAGATGATACAAAGTGCTCATTGAAACAATTCAACATTTCAGTTTAGTCATATACAGCAACAGAGTCCTTCAATACACATGACGGTAATTCATTAACATTACTGTTACCAGACATAGACTTAATAGCCTTCCAAAACTTTCTAGGGTCATTCAGGTTATCAGTGGTAACAGACATAAAATATTCAGACTTGCCCTTCCTGATTAGAGAAGAACACTTGTTTCGTAGCTGCCTAAAAAGAAGCCAATCAGCATCAGAACATGATCTCCTTGCTTTAGCCGAGGCTAGATTACGTTTGTGAATAATACAGGACAGCTCAGAAGAAAACCATGGATTATCCCACCCTTTAACACTGAACCTGCGGAATGGGGCATGTTTGTTTATCATGAAAGAACTTCAAGGCAGTTTCCACATCAGGAATAAGCTCAATCTTGCTCCAGTCAAAATAAAACAAATTATGAAAGAAATCTGCTCAATAAAACTCTTAAAATGTCTCTAATGAATAAAGCGTGGGTTTGTCTTAAGTACCTTAGTATTTCTAACAGCAACAACAGCACAATGGTCACTTAAATCATTACAGAAAAACCAACCGCAGAATATTTATGTGGAACATGTGTCAATATCAAATCAATCAGGGTAGATTTCTCTGGACATTTGAGATTTGGGCGGGTGGGTGAATTATCAACTGGGTAAGATTCATAGAATTACAATACATTTTAAAATCAACAGACACCGGCTTTAACCAACACCAGTTGACATCACCAATCAAGATAATTTCACTGTAAAGAAGTTTAGACATAAGATGCATTAGAGAAGAAAATGCATCACAGAGAGGAGAGGGAGGTCTACAACAGCCAATTACAGTTATAGAGAGACCCTTTGAAACCTCAAGATTCAAAGTAAGAAATTCCAACTGTTTACAAATAGTTTCAGAGTTTGCCACACTTACAAGGAATTTAGTCTTTACATATATAGTCACACCCCCAACCTTCTTAACTCTATCAGTGCGATACACATCATAACCATTTATTTCATAGTTTTGATGTCTTCACTATTATTCTACAATGTAAAAATAATAAAAATAAAGAAAAACCCTTGAATAAGTAGGTGTGTCCAAACTTTTGACTGGTAGTGTATATCTCTTATTGGGCTGAATTGAGTTGGAGAATAAAAATCAATGACATGGTAAATAAACTACCAGTTGAACTAGGATGTCCAAGTAGCATGCTAAGTCATACATCCTGCTATGAGGAATATCCTGTTTCAAGGTCAGCTATTCCTATAAGTAGTTAGATAGGCCTTCATTGAGATTTTACTAGATAACAAATAAATGAAATAAAATAAAAAATCATGTTTTACAAACAAAATATACTTTATTATCCCCAAGACAACATTATGACTTGTTGGATACTCTGTGCAATCCAATGTGTGTGCACACTCTTTTTACAGAACACTGTCAGTTGGAATGCAGCCTAAATGACAACTCATAACCTCAGCACCATAACATAGGGACTTGGGGGTGTTCAGAGCATATTACAGAGAGACTCATTAACGATATCACACAACGTGAAGTACCACCTCATTATTAGCATTGAAAGATGCTAGCCCTGTCCACTCTCTCGTCCAAACAAAAGATAACCTAAATTCATCCATGATATGAGACCCCAAATCCTTTCCACACACATACATGTGCGCTGACAGAAAACATGGTCAGACTGTTGTTTTTTTAGATTGTTGATGAGCAGTTGTAGTTATTGAAATACTGAAATGGTACTGGTTGTAAAGGAAACTGTTACTGAAACGTCAGTAGAGATACACATGTGCAAATGCACAATGAGAGATTATTTGAGTCTGATGAAATCTTGCAGAAGTAAACCTAACATGAAACTAGGCAATAAATAAGACAAGGGGGGTAATACATAATTTTGGCGGGTAAAGCGATTCCTTTCCTTGACCGACTGTGAGCATAATCATCATCCACATTATTGCTCCTAATCTGAATAATATAGAATCCTGCTGGACCCTTGAAGGGGAGGAGGCTGATCACTTCCGATGCTGGGCAGCGATGTAGAGAGCCATCAGGCAGTAGAGGATCCCGCCGATGGTCAGGCCCATGGTAGTCCTGTACAGCATCTTGTCCATCAGGGCTCCCTTCAGGTGCACAGGGACACCATCAGACTTCTGCAATGTACAAAGAGAATTAGATATTTGATAGCAATCCCCAACTCCCCACTGTGAGTCACAGGGGGAAATCCTGAGACATGTCAAGTCCAAACTTTATTACTGCTCACAACTTCTCTGCAGGGACAGAGAAGGAGTGTATAACTTTCTAGTAGTATGATTTTAATCTCTATCAGTGCAAGTACATTTTGGCAGTGAAAGTTCATGGTTATCAAAGTAAATTTCCACAGGAGTATATTATCGTTGTATCTTCTAACCAAACAAACCAAGGTCAAGTAGGGAAAACTGCCACACAAGCTTAATACGTTTTCACATAACCCCAGTGACCCGATAACATATAAGCAGGGTCTAGGTCAAACAAAGGTTAGAGAAGTTTGTCTGTACCTGGAAGAGTTTTTGTAGGTCAGGGACTTTGTTGTGTCCCAGGTACTCCACCATGTTCCCTGCCTCTGACACATATTTGGTGGGGGTGGCAAAGATCATTGGGGGAGCCTCCGTGGGTAAAGTTACCCGCAACCCCTGGAGAGACAACAGAACTTTAGACTGAATACCACATGACCCAAACACATAGACCATCTAGCTAATGGGGAAAGGGGGATACCTAGTCAGTCGTACAACTGAATGCATTCAACTGAAATGTGTCTTCCGCATTTAACCCAACCCCTTTGAATCAGAGAGGTGCGGGAGAGCTGCCTTAATCAACATCCACGTAATCAGCACCCAGGGAACAGTGGGTTAACTGCCTTGCTTAGGGGCAGAAATACTTTTACCTTGTCAGCTCGGGGATTCGATCCAGCAACCTTTTGGTTACTGGCCCAACACTCCTACACGCCAGGCTACACTATCACACCGTGCAATATGCATTCAAGCAATACTTACTCATGAGACACACAGTCCACAAACCCAAGTTGCTTGTGTATAATAAGTTAATGTAAACCCACTGACTGATGAAGGGTCAAAATGTATCAGGACGTGTGGGTTGGGTTAACTCGACATGATTGTTTCACGAAATTGGGGAGAAAAGGGGTAAAAGTACAAAAAAATTCAGAGGTAGCTAGTTGTAAAAACTAGCTAGATAGCTAATGTTAGCTCACTACCTTACCTACTAGGGTACTAATGTTAACTAACTTTATAGATTATAGCTAGCTCTCTAGTTATGCATGTTTAGTAGTTCATCGACTAGCTACTGCCGGTAATCCAGAATGTCTCGGCAACAAAACGCTGCTAGTTAGCTAACGTTACAACGTTAACGTTAGATAAACCACAGCAGCTTGCCAGTTTCCTAGTTAAAGCTAATGTGTTAGTATAGAGCCTAGCTAGTTCGCTTTATCAGTTCAGTCGCCTTAGCCAACTACAATAAGCTAGCCAGTTAATTGTTATAAAACAATATCTGTCTTACGATTTTTTTGCGATGTTGTGTAAATCCATGCATTTGTTTGCTTTGCCAAACTGAAACCGTGTAAATTAGCAAACTAGCTGCTTTCCACAATCCGAGTCGTGTTGCTAACCTTTTCAATTAAAGCTATGAAGTCAATTTTATTTACTTTCAAAGTGTTCTTTGACACAGTACATTTATGGGAGCAAGATTTCTGAACAGGCTTCGAAACCATGGCAGGACTATTAGAAGCACTAGTGATTCTGAGTGATTCTATATATCTGGGCCTCTCTAGCCCATTGATTCTGTATATCTGGGCTTCTCTAGCCCCCCCCCCCCCCCAGCATTCAGTTATTTGACCCGCTTTCCTACTGATCAACCTTTAGGCCTCAATCACTACCTCCCTGAACATTTTCTTTAAAGGGAAACTTCACAATTCTTTCAACTTCATCTTCTCCAGCACCACAACAACATCAACAAATGTGAAAATGGTGCGTTTCTATGTTTTGTAGTAAAAAAGATAGAGGAAGATATGTGTTTCCAATGACATCATCGGTTTGCATCATGTGTATTTTTTGTTGGTGTAATTTTACCCTTTTTTTTCTCCCCAATTTCATGATATTCAATTGCTAGTTACAATCTTCAACGGGTTCAGGAGAGGCGAAGGTCGAGACATGCGTCCTCCGAAACATGACCCGCCAAGCCGCACTGCTTCTTAACACAATGCTCGCTTAATAATTGTTTACTTTGAATGACCAACACACAGTAATCTCAGAACTTCTATAGGCAACGTTTGTCATCATGCCCGTGTGGTGTTGTGTGTCTGGCTGTGCTAATTACAAACAAGCACCAAAAGTGAGCTATCTTTCCCCATTCTACCTACCAGAGTGTTATGATGAGTTTCTCTGGTGTCAAGTAATTGAGGATGCAATAATAAACTTAAACAATTATATGGGGAGTTAATACAAAATATTTAATAGATACGGTACCAGGTTCGTCTAACAAAAGGCACGTGCTTTGCTTCTTGTCATCCCAACTACTAGACATTTACATTTTAGTCATTTAGCAGACACTCTTATCCAGAGCAACTTACAGTTAGTGAGTGCATACATTATTTAATTTTTTCATACCCCTCGTGGGAATCGAACCCACAACCCTGCCGTTGCAAACGCCATGCTCTACCAACTGAGCTACATCCCTGCTGGCCATTCCCTCCCCTACTCTGGACGACGCTGGGCCAATTGTGCACCGCCCCATGGGTCTCCCGGTCGCGGCCGGCTACGACAGAGCCTGGATTCGAACCAGGATCTCTAGTGGCACAGCTAGCACTGCGATGCAGTGCCTTAGACCACTGTGCCACTAGACAAAGGAAATCTCTCAGTTTATATACTTCATGTTACACGTTTCTTCAACAACATCTGTTAACCATCAGTGGGCACTCCCTTCTTTGATGGTATTACCTTGTACCCCAAGTCAGTTTATTATGTCTATCAATCATTCTAAGATAAACCTCAGTAAGCTCCCTCGACATACTGGAATCCAGACTCTGTGGCACCAAGAGTCACCTATCTAATAAATGTAACCTTGTTCCCACAACACCATGAAAAGACATCATAACGCAGAGATTTACTCTGATGCTGCCAGTGGCTTGCAGCTATCAAGAATTATGCTTACGGTGACCAAAGATTATTAGAGAGATGTTCAGGCTGAACTGATGGGGAATCCATTTAGATGACAGCTGAGAAGTGATACGATTTCCCTTCACAACAAAACAGAAGATTCTCGATTAGAGTTAATGTAACGTTAGCTAGCATGCTAGCCTAGCTGGACTAGGTAAGTTAGCTAGCTAATGTTACAGGCCTGTATTGAACTCTGAAAGCCATCAGCTAAATCATATATATATAGCTAACTTTTGGATACACACTGTCAATCAATTTCACCTATGCCATGGTAGTCACTGCTAGACTGGTAACTTCAGCATGTTTGTTTGTTTGTTCTTTGACTAGCATTAGCTAATGTAAGCTAACTAACGTTAGCAAATAAGAGTAGCTCAATCTGGTAACGATCTATTCCACCCTTGTCTGGAAAACACTCCGTTACTAAAAATAGAATTGTCGATATAGCTAACTCACTCTCTGTTTGTTTGTTGGCTGGCAATCTTGCTGCCAATTTAGTGACGCTAGTGCTGGATTCTATCTAGAAATATACTTATTAATGTTACCATACTAGAACTTAATGATTACTTTACATGTATAAGGAATGTATATGTTAGGGGTCAAGGAAGGGTAAAGACGAACTAGGTGTGTGGAAAGTTATTGAGTGAAATGTAATGTGAGAGAAAAGGGGAATAGAGGATATGACCCAGGTCTGTTGAGTAAGGTGAACATGAGGTCACTGATAAACATCATGGAGAAGTGACCGGATAAAGAGGAACTGCTAGCAGGCTGCTTAACTGCGAAGACAACAGCGCAACATTTAAGCAGTATTGGGCAACAGATAGCAGTTCTGAGAAGTTACACCCCTAATCTCATCTTGACATATAAATGCCTGTTTGATGATGTGCAAAATATGCTTGCAGCTGAGGCACCCAGTGGGGTGAATAAACTTGGTTTGAGCTTTTTCTAGTCGTCCGTTTGAGTTTTTACTCTGTTTGTTCAGAACCTAACAGTTGGCGTTGTTGGCAGGATTCACCACGATTTATAGTCGAACTGGAGAGTCCGAATCGGTGGAGCAGGAGCCGGCACCAAAAACAAGGTAGGCACAGTTTGTCACGCCCTGACTCAGGGGACTCTTATATGTTGAGTCAGGGTGTGTATATTCTTTGTTGTGTATGTTCTAAGTTGTTTTTCTAGTAGGTGTATATCTATGTTGGCCAGTGTGGTTCCCAATCAGAGGCAGCTGTCGCTCTTTGTCTCTGATTGGGGATCATAGCCCAGTGCGTCCTGTGCCAGCACCCCGCACGTGTAGTGCGAAAGTGGGCAGCCAGCCAGGACGGGTTGTGCCAGCTCTCCGCTCTAGACATCCAGTCCGCCTCCACAGTTCGGCCCGGCCTGTTCCTGCTCCTCGCACCAAGCCAGTGCTGCGCGTCGCCAGCCCGGCCCGGCCGTTCCTGCTCCTCGCACCAAGCCAGTGGTGCGCGTCGCCAGCCCGGCCCGGCCTGTGCCTGCTCCTCGCATCAAGCCAGTGGTGCGCGTCGCCAGCACGGCCCGGCCTGTTCCTGCTCCTCGCACCAAGCCAGTGGTGCGCGTCGCCAGTCCGGCCCGGCCTGTTCCTGCTCCTCGCACCAAGCCAGTGGTGCGCGTCGCCAGTCCGGCCCGGCCCGTTCCTGTCCCTCGCATCAAGCCAGTGGTGCGTGTTCCTAGTCCGGTCCGGCCCGTGCCTGCTCCTCGCACCAGACCAGTGGTGCGTTTGTCCAGTCCGGCACGGCCCGTGCCCGTCGCTGCTCCACTCCGGAGCCAGAGCAGTCCGCTCCACCGGTGCCTGATCCAGCTCCGGTCAGCTGCTCCACTCCGGAGCCAGAGCAGTCCGCTCCACCGGTGCCTGATCCAGCTCCGGTCAGCTGCGCCACTCCGGAGCCAGAGCAGTCCGCTCCACCGGTGCCTGATTCAGTTCCGGTCAGCGGCTCCTGTCCAGACCATGACGTCAGCCCCTCTCCAGGTTCGGGGTCTCCCACACCAGGGTCCAGACAGGGCCTGGCGTATCGTGGGAGGAAGGAGAGGGGATGCAGCGCGCGGAGGTCCAGACCAGACCAGGGGCGCAACAGGGAGGCGGAGAGTAAGAGGTCGTCACGCTCCGAGCCGAATCCGCCTCCGAGGCGGAATGCCCACCCGGCCCCTACCCTGTTATGTTTATGTTGTCCGGTCGGAGTCCGCACCTTTGGGGGGGGGGGGGGGTACTGTCACGCCCTGACTCAGGGGACTCTTATATGTTGAGTCAGGGTGTGTATATTCTTTGTTGTGCATGTTCTATGTTGTTTTTCTAGTAGGTATATATCTATGTTGGCCGGTGTGGTTCCCAATCAGAGGCAGCTGTCGCTCGTTGTCTCTGATTGGGGATCATACTTAGGCAGCCTATTGGCACTAGTCGGTTGTGGGGTCTTGTTCCTTGTAAGGTATGTTGTGTGTGTGCTACCTTGGACTTCACG